GGCAGTTGTCCTTTGAGGTCGTGTACTCCACTGTGACTTGGAAGGAAGTGGCTTGTAATAGAACTTTGGAGGTGGGTCTGCCAAGAAGAGAATAACTCCTTCCGTTGACAAAAATGACACACAGAGGGCAATCTTCAAAGCACCTGAAAGGAGGCATCCTCAAAAACTCATCTGATTCTTACAGGAAGTTCTGCTGCTCTGTCACCTCTAAAATAAATAACAATATCATCACTTCCCAGCCTCAACTCTAGGCTAGTGTCATTACTTCCTCTTCGTGCAGCCTTCTGATCGCCAGAGTACTTTTTCAAAAACCTTAAGTATAACTAATAAAATCATGAGGCTCCCTCTAGCTCTGTAGAGAGGAGTTTACTAACCAACGATCCTATATAATTCCTATCTAACAAGAGAGATGTAAGGAGGCTGCCTCCCCTTCCACGAGAAATGTTTTCAATTCTGTTTCTTGTCAGGATACAGATGGTAAATGAGACCATCTGCAGAGGAATTCAGAAAGCATTGCTCTTTATACATGCTTCAAGCTAAGGCTCTATTAATTGCTCTGTGCAGAAAAGTCTAGTAAAATGGTAACCTACCTAAACTATGCATACATTCTCAACTCAGATGTACTCATCTTGTACAAAATTAAATATGATTTCAAAAACACAAGGCGTGAACATTTCACAAATTTTCAACTTGTGATCTGATCTCAATTCTAACAGCCTATATTTAAAAAAAAACTGAAGGAAAAAAACCTCACTTTATTAACATTGCTTCTATGGAATTTGTGTAAAACAAAGATGCAGATGGTAACTTGTAGAAAAAAAATTCTCATGTGCCATAACATTTATATACAGCACTAGTAATGACTTTTTTATTGTTTAATCTTTTCAGCAATTCCATATTGGATATTTAGAGATTGCAGTTATTTAGAAGACAATAAATAATATAGTTGAAGTACACCATTGATGTTTTGTCCATCTAACAATACCCATAAAAGTCATATGTTCCACTAGCAGATGACTCCAAACAAGTGAAGATGAGCATTGCTGAATCAAGCCCCTCACACTCGCTAAAACTATCTTTCAAGTACTTACAGAATTATTTTAAGTACCACTGAACTTAACTCTAAATTTAAAGTAAGGGAAACTGCTGAGCTTCAAGTCATCACCTACTTTGGACTTCCTCAGTATAGGAAATATTCCCAGGAACAACAAAAAGAATAGCTCCCTCTACCCTTCCACCCCACCCCTTTCTGCGCCAGTGTCCAATTTCTTCTTTTCTGAACAGCTGTATTATCCAACTTAAGTTGCTCTGCTAATTTCAGTCCCTCAAGGACTAACTTGGAAGGCAAAAAAATACAAGAAAAGATCAATTTGCTGGGAAAGATCAAATGAGAAAACTGTGGGGACAGCACCAGGTCAGCATGTGGAGAACTAAGCAGACCTGTTCTTCATTAACTGCAGCTCTCTGGGGATGTCACACACTACCTGTCCGTGGGCTTTATTGAACCGCCTAACCCTCCTCTCTATTCCATTCTTCTGGGCCCAAGTGAATCATATCCTGCTGCTGACAAGTTAGCAGGGGACTGCGGCTGCAACATGAAAGTACTTTTCTTTCTTGTCTAAAACAGGCAGATTTTTGAAAAGACGACACAGCATTGACTCGTGACATGGCAAGATGAAACGAGAGGTCTGGGCCGGTCTTGGAGCTGTGCAGATAAAAGTAATCAAATGACACTCCTGGAATGCAAATTGGCATTCTTGACTGCAGCAATTGCACAACCATGAAACATCCCTGACAGCAAGCAAGATTAGGACAAAATGTTATGTAAAGCACTGAACTAAAAAACTCTCACTTGAAGATTCAAACTGTAACACTTACATTTTAATATAGCAACAGTCAGCTCTGCTTTTCTCTGCTTCTTTTTGTAATCACATAGCCCTGCCTGACAGATAACTTACGTCTCAGGTAGAAGAAAAAAAAAAAAAGGTATTAGCAATGCACTGCTGCCATTAATATTTTCTTAATAATTATTTTAAAAATCACATGAAGTGGATTCTCATCCAAAGTTTAACATGCAAATACAACCCAACTCAATATTCTCAATGGACTGGGGGCACTTCAGACATTTTCTACAACACCTTCCTCTAAAGAAGTTCACATTGAGGCGCAGTACCCCTTTCCGCAGGTGAAAATACTTTGTGCTTTGGTAAAGTGACTAGCAATCTGGATTTTAAATACACTGCTCTCCGTGAACAGAAAGAGCAGTGTAAACTAACAACTTCAGTAAGCAAGAACAAGTTTAAATGAAACAGTTACAAATATATGAAACGCAGGGCCTTCAAAGGTTCACAGGGGATTCTTGTGTGTGTGATTCCAAAGAACAAAAGGAAGTTCTATTAAACTTGTACAAGGTTCACTACTAGAGTACATCTTCAGATCTGACACACTTAGTGCCAGAAAATAAATTCCACTTAGAGCATCCATGTGTGTGCACAGTAACATCTGAAGCTGCAGAACGTGAAATAGTGGGAGGCAAAGGGGCTCAGCCGCTGGTCAAAGTGATTAGTGTATGGGAATAGATATGTAGACAAACAGTAATAATGACTGGGGGAGAAAGAAAGATAATACGTACAACTGGCTTTTATAATATTCTTGTGTAAAACGCTGTTACAAGAAAGACTCTCTAGCTCTAAATGGCTATATTTAATATTTTGTTTTGATGCCTCACTTAAACACAGGCTCCAAGAACTGCAACTGTCCACAAAGTACATAAAAAATAATAAAATAGGCCACTTTCTGCCACTTTAATCCTGGGTACACAGGATTATTTTATGATGTCTTTTGTGCATCAGTTTTACAACAGCTTGACTCTAGGATAAATGGGAACCATCATAAATCGCACGGCTGCTTTCAAAACCACTTTAATTTCTGTCAGCGTTACTGTAACCACAGTCCTGGGTGCATTTTGTGCGTGCACGCATGTTTATGCGCGCAAGCGCGCGCGTGTTTGTGTGTGTGTGTGTGTGTCTGTCTGTCTGTCTGTCTGCGTGTGTCTGCATCTGACAGTGTCATCTTCTAGACTTCAGTTCTGACTTCGATCAATGAAACAAGAGATGTCACATTAGGGTTTCAGGAAGGAAGAGAGAAAAAGTGTCAACCTGCTCTCACCCTTTTCCTTACACGTTGCACTAACATGGGCCCACTGTGTATCGCACAGTGAGGGTAACAAGAGCGGGGGTAACAAGAGCGGTGGGGACGGCAGCGCGCTCAAAGGAAGGGAGCGGTCAAGCCCCATTTCTAACAAACGACTTCCCGAGGGCGGACAGTGCGGCTCATCACCGGGGAACTAATAGCCTGCTTCCTCCTTGCAGAGAAGCCGCTTCCAGAAGGGCCGCGCTGGAGTCGCCCTTCGCGATGCCATGCCGCCACCACTTGCACTTACAACTTTTTCTGCAATCTTAGCGTCACCTCACGGGAGACTGCGCCTCGTTTTGTTCTGTGCCCTCCCCACTTAAAAAAAAAGTCCGCTCCCCTTTCAGGCCCCAGCCCCGCCACGCCGTCGATGCGTAGGTGAACTGAGGCTGCACCCGGCAGGCACACGCGTGTCCGGCTGCGGCGACCCGGCTGCCCTGCGTCTGCGTACCGGGCCGCGCGAGCTCCGCTGCGGTCCCACGCGGGGCTGGATGCCGCTCTACCCGCGACGCGCCCACGCCCGTCCGCCGCTCGGTGCGCACACGCCGGCAAGTTGGAAAAGTTGCGGCCGCTCGGCGGTGCGCCCGGCCGCTCCATTCATCCCGCGTGCCCCAGCGGGTCCCCGGGTCCCCGGCGCCCGCGCGGGCCAGCCGCTCTCCCGCCGCAGCCGAGCCCCTGCACCCGCCTTCCCGCCCGGAACTCGCCCGGGGAACTTGGGGCCAAGTTTAGGGGCGGAATCGGGAGCGCAGCGAGCCGCCCTCCTGCTCCCGCCAGCGCGGGAGGAGAAGGCGGCCGCCGGCGGCCCGGGGCGCTCGGACGCCCTGGGCATCCCCAAGCCGGCGGAGGAGCGGAGGGAAAGGAGGTGGAAACTTCTTACCATCTCGGCATGCTGGTTGTCAAGTGCAGCCCCCGCCTCTTGGTCTCCTCTTAGCGGCCGCGCCTGGACCAGCCCCGCCGCCTCAGCTCGGCGGCCGCGGCCTGCGCCCTCCCCCTCGCGGTCTCTGCAGGGCCGCGCTCGCCGCCCGCGCCACT